AGGCCAGGGGGGGAAGAACTACCCGTCCCCATGTTCACTGCGCCCTGCGCCCAAGGAGAGCACGCCAAGTGGATCCTTTCTGACTGGCTCAGAGGCAGCCACGGGGGCCTCTGCAGGTGCTACAGCTGGTTAGATAAACGCTGGACAAGTAGCTTCAAAAGGTAAGACGCACCAACTTTTGTTAAAACTATAAATAGTCAAAAATCAGCCGGGGTGTAGAAAAGTCCTTTATGTCACGACGGTGGTTTTAAAGTGAGCAGGAGAGATGCTGAGTGCCACTCGCACGCCCTATAATTGTAGGCGAGTAACTGCAGCATGAGCAGGTCTGCTCAGGAGAGAGGCTTGGCATTCAGGGCGTGCTTGTGCTCTGCGTCCAGTGGAGCCCCCCGCCCCCCACAACAGGCCCACAGCCACTCCATTTGCTGGCGTCTTGTCAAGGCTGCTCTCCCACTGCCACAGAGTTGAGGGTCACACAGAGGACTGACCGCAGCGTGCTGGGCCCTGACCGAGGCCCGTAGGGGACGAGGCTGGTGCTGCCCCTCCCCTCCCGCTCGCGCTGGGGGACGGGCACCCCGTCCCTCAGAGGGCAGAGCCTGGCGCCGTCCTCACAGGAGCCACGGGGCACGTCACCTGGGCAAGTCCCCGACACTGAGTAAAACTCCACCAAGCGTGTTACCTCGTTACACAACATCCGAACGTGCAGTTTCTTGTCACCTGAGGGAATCTGAGACATAACCAGGGACAGGCTGCAAGACGGCACAAGGACTTAGTCTGAGCTATTAATTCGGCAGCAGGTTTTTAAAACGTCCCTCCTCTCTCCCAGGAGCAACACTGGCATAGTTTAGGGTGTAAGAAAACACAGTTTTTAAAGCATCAAGAACACGTGTTCTGTAAGGCTCATGCTGTCGAGGCTCCTGTGCCTACACTCACGTGCCTTACAGGATCCTGTTTGGCGTAAACGATGCTTTTCCTACGCAGCAGCTCAAGGCACTAAGCGGCTGCTACCTGCTTCCAGCCCTGAGCCACGGCCAGCGCCCGGCCACCCGCCGTCGCCATCGCAGAAGGAATGGCTCTGACTCGAGGGGCCGCCCAGGCTGCTGCCTCTGATGGTCAGAGCTGAGCCTTGTGCTTTGATGAGGGCCCAGGAACGCTCAGGGTGAAAACGATCCCGTTCTTAAGGGTGCTATTAGTTGGTCTAGAAAATGTTTAAAAAAACAACAACACAGGAAAAATACCAGCAGGAAATTCAGCAGAAGGTTAAACAATAATTTCTTCTTAGTGGTACGACTTTGAACAATTTCTTCTTCTTTGTAGCAGAATCCCCTTTTATAACAAAATTTTCTGACACCTCCACCTTTATTATCCCGACATGAAAGCACCGATATGAGCCCTAGCTAACGTCATAACAACCAACCATCTGACCAAACAGAGGAGACGACCATAACGAGATGCAGTGCTTCACTTGGACAACCCGAGGCCTGTGACACCAGGAGGCAGACGAGATAGACGAGGCCGTGGGGGCGCGGCTCTCCCAGGCTGTCCTGGAGGAGAAGGTGGACGCGGGCCTGGAGCACGCGCTGCTCAGCGTCTCCCACGCGCCCCACCGTCACCGCACGCACCACCGTGAGGGAGAGAAGCAGAATTAGGTAGTTTTCTCAAGTTCACAGTGGTTCAACGTTCAGAACCTCCCTCTGCCAGAAGACGTGCATTAACGTGTAAAATCAAGTCTGGTTTCGGACTCAGATAACTGCAGGGCAACTGTCACACGGGCACACAGCCCCACAGCCACGGCCAGACCCCCAGCTGCTCGAGAGCCACCGCCCTGTGCTCGGAACTCCGTCTCCACGACAACGGGCCGAGCTCGTCAGGTCCTCCAAGGAGATAGAGCCGCAGCCACTAACCCGCCAGCACCCGAGGCGGCGGCAGCGGAAGAAGTGGGGAGACGGACGGGGGTGACGGACTGTCCTGGTGGCTGATACACCTTCCTCACCCCTGTGAGGAATCGAAGTCCAAACAGAGAACAAGACACAGCTTGCTCTCCTGACAGAGTCCTGGCTGGGGCGGAATGCAAGGCCGCAGGACAGTGGGTCCAAAGCTACAGCCTCTCCAGGGAACAGACTGCGCCCTGATGACCCGTGTCCTTGGCAACAGCACGACCTAAAATTAATCAAATCCTTAAAAGGAAGATGCCAAGAGGACCGGTTCTGAGACGCCCAGGCGGCCTTGGGAGTGGAAGGCCCATGTGACCCTGGAGGGGCGGGCCACGGGGTCACCTCTGGAGGAGACATCAGCGGCTCCGGGTGGAGAACCGCCCCACACACGGCCGCTCCTTCCCCCACGGCCTGTCCCCCTGGGGCTGATGCGACGCCATCGCTGAGGGGCCCGTCCCCATGAGCACCAGGACCCTACCAGCCCTCAGACTTCTCAGACCCCGTCCTGGGCAGGCTGACCACCCCCTTTCCGAGGCGGAGGCTGAGAGAGGAACAGTGACGCCTCTCGTTCACTCTGCTGGAGGAGGGGCTCGCTCTGAAACAAGGCCTGTGCTGCAGGAGCACTGAGAAAGTCTCGCGTCCACACAGCACCTCACCTCCCTCCGTGTCTTCACGCTCAGCCCGCCGGCTCCCAGGCAGCTGCCTCGCCTGGCCTGGCCTCGCTGCGCGGGGCATACCTTACCATATTAGGCAGTTGGGCCGAGCGGGAGGCACAGCCTGGGATTTTACCTAAAAGGACAAGGGCTGGGAGGGACGGAGGTCACTGTGCACCAGCAGGGAAGGGGCTCCGGAGGTTAAGGAACGAGCCTGGAAGCTGCACTGCTCGGAGTTGGGGGGCAGGGGCGTCCAGCAAAGGCTAGAAGCACGCTGGGAAAGCCAGGGCCGAGGGACAGGGCTGCTGCCTCCTCAGGGGGGACTGGAGCTGGGGGGACACTGGAGGAAACAGGGCGGGGCACTTAGGGAGCCGACTGGAGCGGGGCTCCCCAGGCTCCGGGGGGTGGGAGCGCCGGCCCCACCCCTGCCCTTCCCATCAGCCCACGCTTCCCGCTCCTGCAGCCGTCAAGTCCACTTCTCAACTCACCAGGGACATTTCAGACACTGACACACGTCGGGGGAGCCTGGGTGCCTGACTCACAAGACACCTATTCTCTGCAGAAAAACTAGGAATGGCATCAAATCACCCGATTCTAAGGTCAGCGAAAGCCTCACTCTCATCTAGACTTGGGGACCTGGACTCGGAGGATCTCAATGGGCCTCCAGCACCCCAACCATTTAAATGCACCACCACTCCCAGCACAGCTCCAGGTCGGCCGGGCATCACCCCCACGTACACGAGGGAACGGAGGCTGGGAGCTGAGTGGTGCGCCAGGTGCAGGCTGGCTGCAGCTTAGGCGTCCGCTCGCGTCCTAACGGGGTGTTCCTGGAGACATAAACAGACAGAAAGCCCACCTGACAGCCCCAGAGGAGCACGGCTGTGATGGGAGCTCGGGGCCTCAGTTC